CTATTAGTAGGTTTAGAGGCTTTTTATTATATTTTCTCTCAAATTATTTATATTTTCATTTTCCTTTTATGAATACGATCACTGAGGCAGAAAACATCGGAGGAGTTGAAGAGAAAAATGGAAGAATATGTGAGAGAATACGGTGGATCTCGCCGGAGAAGGTGGAGCGAATGGTTAAAAGAGGAGAGCGGAACATCATAATGACATTTTTTTAACAACCTCAATTTACTGTAAGTCTATAAGTTATATTTGTAGTGTTTCTTATTTTTTAGCTAGCTACATTTCCTGTTTTAGTGTCCCAATTTCCTGCTTTTCCTTTCTCATTTTGTTCTGTGCACCCATTGATGATTTTGTGAGTATGGACTTGTATCAACTATTAGAAGTCCTTATTGTTATGAGATATGGTTAAAGTGTAATAGAAATAGGGAAAGTAATTTAGGCAGGCCTTACTTGTTTCTGTTCATGTGTTGTTTGTGTATTAGTTAATTGTCATGGTAGCTGCTGCATTTTGAATTTTACATGCCATTTAGCATATGAGGTTAGCATTTTCCTTTTAGTCTTCTGAAATCTTATCTGAATGTTTTATTGATTTCATTACAGCTTCACCTTTTACATGTTTGAAGGATCACCCTGGAAAGAGGGGAAAACTCACCTTGTTGCTGAGTGGTACATCGGCTGCAACAACCAATTCTCTTGATCATATATTTTGCTTTTACACACTCAGGCGCTTGTAGTGGTGCAACTGTGGAAGGTTTGTTTTGTCCCAGTCATTTTGATTGTCTTTAGAAGCTGGAGCCCTCTCCTTGAACAATGGATTTCACTCACTCTTCCAATGAATAATGGAAACTTTCTGAAGTTTTTCTGGTATTTGATTTCATCAGATGCTTTTAATGTTGGGATGTTGGGCAGTCAAGTCAATGTTACTTGTTACTATTGTGCAGTCACCATTGAAGATGATGCAGTGATCTCAGCTTTCAAGTCTGTAAGTTTGTTGGGTTTTGCAATATAATGTGCAGCTATTTAATGTTAGATTGTGACAAGATTGAATGATTTTGTAGATCTGCCCATTCTCATTTTCTATTATATTGGTATCTGATTGACTAAATTTAATCTCATCTGTTAGACTTTTAGAAGATAGAAGGAGGTCCTTGGTGGAAACCATTTTGTCAAAAGTCAAAAGAAAAACCTCAATGATAGACTTATTATGAGAATTCTGTGATGGTGACAATGAGAGACATAGCGGTGGAGCTTGTAATAATAACAGTTTTCACAATCGTTGGTCTCTTAAGCAGTAGATAACTCAGTTCACTTGTAGTACTTAGCTTCTCTTGCAACAGTCTCACAGGTCAAATTCCATCTTCTGAGAAATGGGCAGAACTTGAATCAGTAGATCTCTCGTCAAACAAGCTTGATGGTAGGATTCCTGAGCAGTTGACAAGTCTGGTATTCGTTTCAGTTTTGAACTTTTCATACAACGAACTTGTGATTCACATTCCTCAAGGGAAGCAACTCCATACTTTTTCTAAAGATTGCTACATTGGAAACTTAGATTGTGTGGAATCCCATTGACAAAGAAATGCCAAGTCACGAAGAACTAGAATCACCTCCTTCAAATTTGATGAAGAAGATGACGACTCTGCAGCATTATTTGATTGGAAATTTGCATTGATGGGTTATGGTTGTGGGCTGCTGTTGGGACTTAGTCTTGGATACATTGTGTTCACAACAGGAAAACCATTCTGGCCAGTGTAGAGGGTAGAGGTATATCAACAGAAATTTGTGGGATGGTACAGCCATAAAAATGAAAAGAGAGAAAACCAGCAACCTGGCTGATGCTCTTAGGTGAGTTTCTGCAGCTTAACTATGCTATTTATGGTCATTTTTAACCATGACAATGTATATAAATAATTAAAATTTTCCACTCCTGTTCTCTGCTTCACAGCAATGCTCGAAATAAGCTGCAGACAGCTGCACTTCTTTTCTTCCACTTAGAAGATCTAGCCAAAAAAATTGCAAGCATTGAGCAAACAGAGCATTGCTTGTTCGTGAGTTCGTTCTGCATTGTTTCGTGAGGTTCTTTTCCTGAAATACTATGGTTGTTCTTTCTTTTCCTGAAATACTATGGTTGTTCTTTCTTTTCCCTACTTTTTCTTGTTCAATGTTGAAAGAGCAGCATGCTGAATGGGGATCATTGTATTATATTAATATGAATTTAAAACTGTTGGTTTCTTTTAAATGAAATCTATTTATGCATCTTCTTAGTGGTTCTGGTTTCCTTAAACTATGCTGCTACAAATAATCTATAGACAATGTCTGGCCTTTTAGTGCCATCTACACCAAAGGGATCCATTCCCTACTCTGGATTCCCATTTCCAGGGTAGGCTCCTTCAATCTCCCTTCTTATGATGTTGAATTCACTCCATTGCTTGGTAACATTTTGGATGGACAGCCCCATTACTTGGGGTTGAGTGTTACCAATGCCTTAAATGTTGGGATAGCATAACCACCAAAAAAGAAGGGAAACTTTTGAAATTCATTCGCATTCCGCTCTTTATTTCTCAGCATTTTAATTACTGGTGGAAGACGGTACACAATTGACTGGTGAGAGATGACGAACACCTGCAAAACAAACCAGCATTAGAGATTAGTGAGAGATAGGATTTGGTCTCTGGCATGGTACTCCACTTGATGTAAGATATGAATTTATGAAGAATAACTAGGACATGTAGGAGAGAAGAAAGCTGGAGGAAGAAGATTATTTTGAGAAAGGCATGGAGAGTGTGTATGAGAGAGAATTAGTGGAGATATATGATAAAAACTAACTCTCTAAAAGAAATTCTAGCAATTGAATTGTACTATTTTGTTTTATTAAATTTTATTAAATTATTTTTAGATGTAACAATAAATATTTTACAAATCTATTCATTAACTCTTTTATGTTTTATTGAGTTGGTGTATAAGATTATAAGCATTATATTATTATTTTTTTCTTAAAATGATGATTTGAATAAAGTTTATTTTAAAATAATAATCTAACAGTTTAGAATACATCTAGAAATTTTGTTGAACAATATTAAAAAAGTACCTTGTATCAAAATCTTTAAATGCTTGTTTAAAAAGTTAATTTTGTACTTGACTTACATCACAATACTTATA